ATAGAATTGCGAGCTCGCTCAACCGGTTCTCCTTTCATATCTTCCAATCTGTAGACGCCGGGTTTGACGACTTTTGTAATGCAATATGGTCCTTCCCAGCTTGCCTCGAGTTTCATCGGATTTATAGCTCTTTGCAAGACAAGGTCGTTTAGCGAGAATAGTCGGCTTCAGTCTTTCTTGTTGTAATACCTAGAAACTTGCTGCTGGTAATTCTGAATTCGTAACAAAGCTTTGTCGCGAAGTTCTTCGGCGTTATCGACTGCGTCGATTAGTTTTTCTCAGTTATACTGAGTGTCCCGAATCATTAAAGTTCGCCGAGCACTAGGTACGTGCAGTTCGGCCGGTGCTAAAGCCTCATTGCCGTGAGATAGCGAAAAAGGGGATTTTTATGTTCCCGTTCGAGGGGTAGTTCGGTGCGACCAGAGGACTCCGTCTAGCTCGTCTGACCAACTTGCTTTTAGGTCCGTCAAGCGTTTTTTAAGGCCATCGAGGATAGTTTTGTTAGAAGCTTCCGCTTGTCTGTTGCCCTGAGGGTAGCAAGGCGTTGAATAACTTATGTGTATTCCCCATACCTCGTAAAAATTTCAAAAAGTTGAGGCAATAAATGGCGAGCCATTATCTGTAACGATCTCGTACGGGAGGCCATGCCGACATATGAAATACTCCCATATGAAAAGTTGGACGTCAATTGTCTTTATAGTAGAGTATGCCTTAGCTTCGACCCACTTCGTGAAGTAATCAGTCATGACAAGAATGTGTTGATTGCGACCTGACTTGGGCATTGGGCCAATTGCATCCAACGACCATCTCATGAAGGGGTACGGTGGAACCGCGGTCTGAAGAAGTTCGGTGGGTGCGTTGATGATGGGCGCGTGTTTCTTACATTGTTCGCACCGTAGTACGAACTGCTCACAATCTTGGATCATTCTAGGCCAGAAGAGGCTGTGCTTTTTTATTTTCAATGCTAACGCCCTTCCTCCTGAATGGTTGCCGCCTGCTCCTTCATGAATTTCAATAATAATTCTCTTTGCTTGCGTTTCAGCGCAGCATCGTAGTATTACCTTATTTGCCGTCCATCGGAACAGGTTTCCGTCTTCAACAAAATATTGTGCTGTTTTTCTTCGGAGGCGTCTTGCTGCCCATCTATCCCCTGGGACGGTCCTTTCCAACAAGTAAGACTTGATTTCGTCTTGCCAAGGTCGTTTTTGTTGTTCGGTGTCTTCTTCCATTGGATCGCTCACTTCGTCGTCTGTGTAATACCGCGTTGCAAGATCCTTTGGATAGTTGAATGCTGGGATGCTCGATGATTTCTACTGGAATTGTTCGGCGTGGATGCCAATGCTGCTAGCGCGTCGGCAGCGGTGTTTTCAGTTTGCGGGATCTTAGTTAGTTTGAAGGAGTCGAATTGCTTTGTTGTTTCTTGAACCTGCTTCTGGTAAGCATCCATTCGCTCGTTCTTTGCATCATAGCCTCCTTTGAATTGGCTGGCGACAAGCTGGGAATCACAAAAGGCATGAATATGTTTTCCTCCTACTTCTTTGGCGAGCTGAATTCCTGCAAGCAAAGCTTCGTATTCGGCTTCGTTGTTCGAGGCAGGGAAGCCGAGCTTGAATGATTCGTCAAGAACCTCCCCTGTGGGGGATTTCAAACAGATGCCGACCCCCGACCCTTGTTTTGATGATGCACCATCCACATACAAGTTCCAGCAGCTTTCTGTAGGCGACTCATCATTTAGTAGATCAGGTGGTATTTTGATCATAAAATCTGCTAATACTTGAGATTTGGCGCTAGTTCGAGTGCGATACTCGATATCATATTCGGATTGTTCAATCGCCCATTTAGCCATTCGGCCAGATTGGCTCGGGCTGTGCAGAGTGCTTCGAAGTGGCTGACTTGTGAAAACGACAATGGTGTGAGATTCGAAGTAGGGTTGCAGTTTCCGTGCCGAGATGATTACTACATAGGCAAGTTTTTCCAGGGCTGGATAGCGAGTTTCGGCTCCATCGAGGGTCTTGCTTATGTAGAAGATCGGTTTCTGCTCGCCACGATCTTCCCTGACAAGGACGCCGCTCACTGCTGCTGTTGAGACCGCGATGTAAAGGTACAGGGTCTCGCCATCCTCTGGTTTAGCTAATATTGGTGGGGTGGTTAGGTACTCCTTCAACTGTGTAAACGCCTCTTCGCATTTGTCATCCCAGTCAAAGCATTTATTACTTCGAAGTAACTGATAAAAGGAGAGACATTTATCTGTTGAACGCGAGATAAATCTGTTTAGAGTGGCGATTCTCCCGGTTAGTCATTGCACTTCGCGCGTCTTTTTGGGTGACGGGAGATCCAGAATCGCCGAAATTTGTTTTGTGTTTGCTTCTATTCCCCTTTGGATGACAATTTCATTCCGTATTTGTCGAGGGTTTTGAAGCAATCCCTGAGGTAGCCAACGTGATCTTTAGCGATTGCTGATTTGACTAGCATATCGTCAATGTAAACCTCCATGGTACGACCGAGCTGACTTGCAAACATCTTGTTGACTAACCAGTTGGTATGTGGCGCCTGCGTTTTTTAGTCCGAAAGGCATGACTTTATAACAATATGTTCCATGATCGGTGATGAATGCCATCTTTTCTCTGTCGTCGGGATGCATGAAGATCTGATTGTACCGGGAGAAGGCATCCATAAAGGATAGGAGCTGGTTTCCGGCTGTTGATTCGACCAGTTGGTCGATGTGAGGAAGTGGGAAGCAGTTATTTGGGCAAGATTTATTGAGGTCGGTGAAATCGATGCAGACCCTCTATTTACCGTTCTTCTTTTTGACAACGACGGGGTTAGCTAACCAGTCGGGGTATTGAACCTTGGTAATCGATCCGGCGCCAAGCAGTTTTTCTATATCGTCGATTACGGCTTGTGCCTTCTCGGGACCGAGTTTCCTGCGCTTTTGTTTAATTGGTTAAATTGTAGGATCTACGTTTAGTTTATGCGACGTGATTCTGGTGTCGATTCCTTTCATGTCCTCCATCGACCAGGCAAACAAGTGCACGTGATCGCGTAAAAGTTCAACGAGCTCCGTTTTTATATCTTCTGCGAGGTCGCCGCCAATGCTCGCAGTTCTTTCCGGGTGTTGCTCGTCAATGCTTACCTGTATAACTCGTTCGGGCTTCGGTCTTTTGTGGAAGGGAAGACGCACATCTAAGTCTTCGTTCGCCATGCAAGTATTTGCCGTTCTGATTTTTCTTTCGCTGAGAAGGCATTCGTGCTGTTGATTGGTCACCTCGTAGTGTGAACGTGCCGATAGGAGTTGGGAATTTGACGCATTGGTGGTACGTCGAGATGACAACCTTCATGGTGTGGATCCACGGAACTCCGAGGATGACGTTGTAGATGGTCGGGCAGTTGATGACTGCAAATTCTGCCTTCTTGGCGATGCCGCCGACATAAGTGATTAGATGTATCGAACAGATGCTGTAGGAGATGTCCCCCGCGAATCCTGTCAGTGGTTTTTTTGTCGTTGCTATCTCGTTCTCACTAATGTTCATTCTTGACAGCGTGTCCTTGAAGATGATATTGATGGTGCTCCCACTGTCGACCAAAGCTTGGTGAACGTGCTTTCGTGAATCTGTAAAGTTTTGACCAGTGGGTCGACGTGTGGCGCATGCGAACTGTGCAGATCCTCTGCCGTGAAACCTATTGGTGCTTCATGCCTTGGGGCGAGCAAGTTGCGTTTTGCTGCTGCTGCTTTTTCTTCGTGTTGTTTTATTTCTTCGAGCGAATCGGGGTCGTTGAATACTCCACCTAAGATCATGTAGGTATCGTTGAATGTCGTGTGATCGTGTTCTCCCGTGGGTGGTGGGATCGCGGGGATATTGATTTGCTCGCTGAGAACAGGTGTCTCAGTGTGCGTGGTGGTATCGTCGTTGCGGATGAGATCGCTGTTGTCGATCGGGAGACTCATCGCTTCGGCTTGTGCTTGCTTTTTTTTTTATAAGAATTTATTCTCCTAGTCCCCACAGACGGCGCCAACTATTGAACCAGAAAATCACCACTAGGGTTTGATTAATAGTTGTGGGTTTCAGAGAATAAGATCTTTTTATTAATAGCAAGAAAGCGTAGCGATTACAAAGAGAGGTATAATCGAAAGGTTGTGCTGAAGTGAAAAAAGGTGTTTGCGGAGTAAATTAGAAAGCGTTGGAGTCTCTGGTTTTAGCACTGCTGCTCTCTAGAATGTATGAGGTGTTCTTCTTGGCTTCGAGGTCTTCAGGGATAGGAGGTTGGTTACTTCGAACTCTTTTTCTTTTTTGTCTTTGGTTAATATTTCCATATCTGCGATATGGAAATATCCCTTATTCCCCGAAGAATATGAAAATTCTCCCTTATCCTTCGAGTCGATCCGATATTTCCGGTTTTCGAAGGTTATCTTCAAGAAATTTCCTTTAATCCGAGCTAGTCGACGCGGTCTTTCTGGTCTTGATGGACTTAAATTATTGATAGAGAAAGTCTTTTAGAAAGGTACCCAAGACAAATTTACTTAACTAAACAACAAAGTTTCTCCTATATTAAAGTTTTTTTTTTAATCGGTAATCCCAAATGAACCTCTAAATATTAAAATAATATAAATTAAATTAAATAATTAAATTCTATTCTCTTTAAAACAAATCAGAAAGAGAGACATGTGTTGGGAGGTGATCTTAGTTTCTATTTTATTTAGTTTCAATGTGGTTTTAAGTGATTCTAATAGTTTGTATGGCATTTGATTGTCACTACTCTCTAGTGTGCCTTGTGTGTGGGCTTTATCTCCGAGGACAGTTTCATTAGTCTGTCGGCTTTATGTGTAACATTTCAAACTTTGAATAAAACTCATTATTCAGTGAAAAAAAAACCTCCCGACCAATCTGAAAAAGACAAGAACAACAGAAGATAGTAATCACAAACAGAATAAACAAGACAAATTACAAAAGAGTTCGTTAGCTAATTAGAGTTTTTTAAGTTTTATGTTAAGTATATCACAATCACATGTATACTTCCATCCCTAGAAACTTGGAAGACTGACACAAAGGACACGAGCTAAGCTTCCTCTCGCACTCCTTACACAAACACATATGCTTACAAGGCAACAACAACATACACACCTCTCTCACTCCACAAAACCTACACATCATCTTCGTCTTACCGTTGCTATTATTGTTCCTGCCATTGAAGCAAGAAGCTGTGTCATCAACTTCGCTGTCTCCGCATCCTTCGATGCTATCTCTCGGCCGACCTTGAGCTCGCTCGAGATTGTAGTTGAGAGCAGCGATCATGTTCTCGTTGTACTTCGCGCGCTGTTGCCACGCCTCAGCTTCCATCGTTAGCTGCTCCATTCGCACCTCGAGCTCCTTGTTCTTCCGGTTTATCATCTCTAGCTCGTCGTCTTTCTCACGGAGTTTCTGGACAACTCTTTCCTCCATGAGTGATACGGTTTTACGCTGACTCCTCTGTATCTTGTCCAGGATCGAATGCCGTAATTGGTCCCCCTGTTGAAGATACAGAGAATGAAGAAACCAAACACATATATGGATTAAGCAGATACATATATGAATCAACAAGAAACCAACACATATATCAATCAACAAGAAACCAACACATATATAAATCAACAAGAAACAAACACATATATATCAACAAGAAACAACAAATTATATGAATTAAGCAAATAGAGGGAATCAAGAACCAACACAACATATGAATTAAGCAGATACAGAGAAACAAGAAACCAACACAATATATAAATTAAGTAGATTCAGTTCATACAAAGTAGCCTTGAACATCAATGGGTTTTCTAAAATTCAAGTAAGACACAATATCGAGCAATTTCGTAAGAGCATCAATCAAAGTCACCTGAATCTTGAGGAATCTATCGATTTCTGCATCCTGTCTCCGTAACTCCCGATCAACGTCGTCTCCGACGAGAGATAACAAAGCAGAGCCATCGGAAGAAGCGATACGAGCATTGTCAAGTGAGAGACCCAAACCGGTTGATACAGACCGGTTTTGCCAAAAATCAATCGAAGAAATCTGAGAATTGTTCTCCAAAAAATCCATTTCCTTTATCCTCTTCCGGCCATAGCTCCACTCGAAGTCAGCGCCACCATCGGAACCGTCGATTTGCACCACAGGTCCCGGTGCAAAACCAGCGACATGAACTGTTACCAAATCGAATTTCAAACCCTAAATCAAAATTTCGCCACAAATCTAAAAACCGAAATGAATCATGGAAAGGGGGAGGAATCAGATGAAATTACAAGGAGGAATATACGGAGGATGCTGAGACTGATCATGGAGATTCGCGGAGATGTCGAACACTAATTCCGGAGAAATCTGGGAGTCGATCCTGCAGAAGTCCCTGAAAATGTGGCGGAAGTTCGCGAAAATTAGGGTTTTATTGTTGGAAACTTAAGAGAATTTAGGGGGGTTTTATTAGAAACTTCACGATAAAGTAAGAGAAGAGATCGTTGTTACCTGAAATTCTTGGTCTCTTGTAGGTGTGGATCTAAATGGTGAGGAAGAGCCATGGAAGGTAATTGTCGAGAGAGAGAAAAAGGTAGAGAAGGAAACGGAGAAGGAGACGGAAATTTTTTTTTTTTTTTTGTCGTCAGAGACGGAATTTTTAAGCTTCTAAAATTGGAGAAAAACCACATAAGACATTATTTTCGATAACCTCCCTCTATTTCACTTGATCTTTGTTTTTGGTCATATGTTCTCATTAGTCTGATTATTTGTCCTATATCTATACTATTAAAAGAGAATTCTATTTTTAAATTAACCTTTAGTTAATGTATTATTTATAATATATGTTATTAAATTTATATAGATTCATTAAGGTAATTTAGTTTTATTATTAAACTGTTAATAAATACATTAAATTAAATTAAAGTATATTATTTTGTTAACAGATAATACTAATAAATCATATCTCGTATTTATAAAATTCAAATTAATTTATTTTTAAAATTATTTTAAAATATTTCATAATATTTTAACATAACTACTACATATATATAACATGCATAACTAATATAATTATATATATTATATGATAAATTTAATATATATTATATTATAATCAATTTCTTCTCTATAGTATTAAACAAAAAGCATTACATTAAAATTTTTAAAAATTATTATGGTATTTACTAAATGTGACAATTTATAGTCAATGATGAGTATATATAATCATTATTTTTTGGTTACATATTTACATATTATGAAAAAAAATTATGTAAATAATTTAGTTTTTCTGGTTTGTTAATGATCTTTTTGCGGAAAATTATGGATTTGCGGATTTGACAAACACAATTTTGTAGATTTTACGGATTTTATAAATTTTAGCGAGTTTTATAAATTTTAGCAGAAAATATAGTTTTCTGAGAAAATGTCGGTTTGACAACAAATGTGCCTTTGTAGATTTAGCAGAAAGACATAATTTTTGAATTTTGGTCGTAAATCACGATTTTGCAGATTTTACAGGTTTATGGAAAAATATGGGTTTACGAAATGCGAATAGCGCAATTTTGTAGATTTTATGGGTTTTACAGGTTTTAGCGAGAAAATGCGGGTTTGTGAGTTTGGCAGAAACACATGAGTTTAGAAATTTGGTTGTAAAACACAATTTTATGGATTTTATAAAATTATGGAAAAACACGGGTTTTTGTGGATTTGGCTGGAAATGTGATTTGCGGATTTTACGAGGTTTACATGTTTTTACGGGTTTTATAGGTTTTGATGGAAAATTTTATTTTATGAATTTTATTGAAAATGCAGGTTTACGGGTTTGACGACAAAATGAAATTTTGCAAGTTTGACAAAACTACTTAATTTTAAAAATTTAGCCATAGAATACGATTTTATGTTGTTGGGGGAAAGCATAATTTTTGGATTTGTTAGAAAATGTGGGTTTACAGTTTTGGCAGGAAAATACGGTTTAGTGGAAAATGCTATTTTTATAGTTTCTACCAGAATTTTCGGTTTCGGTACAACAACGTAATTTTACGATTTTGCAGAAAATGCGACTTTTTATTTCGATAGAAAAATAGTTTTGACAAAAAAACTTGATTTTATAGTTTAAATTAAATGATATTTTTATCTGTTAATTTTTAAGATTCATATACTGCATCAAATCTCTATTTTTAGCATTTTAAATATCAAAATTTTGAGATATTATAGAATTTGTATTCAGATAAAATATTCATATACTGATTTCAAACTATTTAAATGAACAGTATTTGAGAGCATTTGCATCCAAATAAGTATCTGGAGGCAAAAACAACCAAAGCCTAAGAATCTTAATTACAAACAATTAAAATCTCTCTTACATTATAAAACATAATATTTTAAAATATTTGTTACAAAACTTAAAAAAAAATTCGCTAATCAAAATATTTTTTTATAATTAAATCAAGCCTAAATAATTTTAAGAACATAAAGTCATAATGTTAAAATAGTTTATATAATCTGATAAAAAAATTTCCTTTAGGCCACAATTTTAGATTTAATAATATAAGCTAATTTTTTTTTGAACAAAAATTTATTATAAACCAATTTTCGCTATGACCTAAAAATATTTTATAAAAAGAAACCCGTCCAAATGCACGGGTCCAAAATCTAGTATATTCTTTAAAGCACACTCCAGCCCAATATTGTACTTTATCCTACATATAAACACAATATATAAAATAACGAGATTGTTTGTGTAATGTAGCCATTGTATATTACCAGATTCACCACCAATCCCCTTTATATTAATTAATTGAGAATTATTTTTAAAGAGTAATCTCATTTTTATAAGCATTTACAGTCGTGTCATTATGCTGATGTGTCAACTCCACATTTATTTTCAGCTAATTGTTTTAAAAAAGACTTAGATTATTAGACTAATTACATGATATGCCATAATATATTTTAGGTCCATAAATATATTATGTTTCATTTTATAAATCAGCATTTAATTTATTAAGATATTCTCTTTCTTTTATTTTTTATCAAAATATATCATATTAAATTATTTCTTTAATTATATTTTCTACCAAAAATCTAATTTTCTCTTATTTTCATTTAAACTTACTTTTATAAAGTAAATAAATTATCAAATCATTCATATAACAAAAATTAAATAGATTTTTTGTACCTGTATTATAATTTGAATTTCAAAATTGAATATAATTACTCAAATTATTAATAAATAAATATAAATCATTATAATCATTGTAAAATTTGATTGTAATTTGAGTTCATTATAGTCATTGTAAATATAAATAAATAATTATAATTCGATTTAATTGACTCTTTCAAAAAGTAAATTCTCAATTAGCTGATAATTTAAACTCTTTCCAAAATTTAGTATATAATAAATACTATTTAATATTTAATATTATATAATTATGAGCTAATTAAGAATTTATTAATAATTTAATGAAGATGAAATTTATTGTGTTTGATATATGTTAATAATATAAGTAATTTAATTTATGGCGCATTCACTAATCTAATTTAGATATAAGTAATATATTAGTTCAAATTTATTTTGTTAATTTAGATTTACTGTGTATATTCAAAGATTTCGAGTAAAACGATAGTGACACTTTTGTCTAATAAGTCATCAATGTTTAAAACTTATTTGGAGTAAAAATAATATATAAGATGGATGAACATCAATATTTTTATAGAAGATAATTTTAATAAATTTTATTTATCACATTATTTTTTATATAATCAATCATAGCAAAAACGCATCAAAACTCTAATCATTTTACACCTTAAATTTAATATTTCGCTTTATTATGTATACACTATACTCCTAACTTACTATTTATCATATATTCGATTATGATTTATTATTTTATTTTAGATAATATTTTTTGATTAAAGGTTTTTGAAGTCATTAATTATTCTTTTCTTTTACAAAAATATAATCTATGGATATAATTATTGTTAATTGTGTCTTTTTTTTAATTCATTCGATATAGTAGATACGTAACAAACTACTTAAATAATAATATTTAATTAATATTTATAAGTCAAAAGTAATTAAATATAGAGAAATTCACTCACACTTAATCTAAGTTTTTGTTTCACATATACACTAACACTCTAAAAAACTCCATCCATAACATTTTGTACCATATTAATCTTAGTTAGACAAAACATTAGTTAATAAAAAGAGAAGAAACATAATGTACAAACAAATGTATCAATGACCAAGACTGATCTGAAATTCGAATTATTTGTTTTGTTTAGGATCACTCTTGTCATTTGATTGTGATTTGTGATTGTGAATCTTTTAGATTTTTGGGGTTTTTTGATGGGAAAGTGATTTCATGATTTAAAGCTCAAAATCATATAATGATAGATAGATCTGATATAATTGGGTGAAAAACTCAAGAAACCTGAGCTAAAACAGCAATAATGGTGAAAAAAAAGAAATTGGTGGGAATTAAGGTTTGGATGTCGCAGAGATGAGGAAGGAGATGAGCGTAAATTTAGGAAGATATTCTAAAGTTTTAGGAAGACTTTCCTAAAATGTATAAATTAAAGAAGTCATTACATGTATTTAGGAATGCCTTCATAAATCGTATAATTGATTATTATTTTGGTTAATTTATACAACTCAAATTCAAGAAACCTTTTCACAATTCAGGAAACTCTTCCACAATTCAGGAAACTCTTCCACAATTCAGGAAGCCCTTCCACAATTCAGAAATTTAAAAAATATAGGAAAGCTTTCCTAAACCATATGAAACGATGTTAAAAATCTAGTATTTGGAAGACCTTCCTAAAAAAATCACGAAATATTAACATAAAAAATACTTTTAGGAAGCATTTCATAAATGGTAAAATTGGAAAACTCAAATGAAAAATGTTAGGGGTGAAAAATTTTAGCTTTCCTGTTATATTTGTCCTAAAAATTTATTTTCAGTGTAATTATAGAAATTACCCTTAAATATATACACAAATATTATACTAAATTTAAATAAATATATAAGGGATTTCATCCCGCACAAAGTGCAGATTATTACCTAGTCTGAGCTACTATAGTAGGGGTAGAACCAATTGCACTAATTTGGTGAATGCAAACAATGTGGAACTTGAGGATGCGATCATAAAATTGTGTAATCTTTAAAATCAGAGACTAATCAACGTCAATCTAAAAAAAATAACTGGATGTTGGAACAACGGTTTACGAGGGTCCGATTTAAATTTGTTTCAAGAGAAAATAATTGTTGTGCCAATACTTTAGGATAGCATGTTTTAAGAACAAGTCTGGACGTTACAATCTCCTCCAAAAATAAAACATTTCCTCAGGAGGATGCTATCGAGTTCACTAGCTACACAGGGAGAATATCTCTTCCAAATTTTGTCGACGATGCTGTCAGAATGTTGAAGCCACACAACACTTATTCTTTGAATGTCCCTATGCTATCTTAACACTGAGAGGTTCATGTATATCCAATATAATACGTACTGATTCTAGCGTTTCCTTTGAAGACAAAATCAACTTCATATTAGACTGCAGCCT